TTCTTAGGAAATACATTTTGAAACTCTTCCAAGACTGCTTCTAATTCAATTGGCCTCTTCCCTTGTTCTTCCTTGCCAATTCGGACCTCATTAGAAACAAGTATATACACCATGTTATTGTTACCAATTTCTTTTTTACTTCCCTCTCACTAATCAAGTAGGAACTCTTCAAATTAGAGGTGGTAATAGAAGGTTTGTTGCTTATCAAAGGTTTCAATGCAATCAGCTTCTCGTTTTCTCCTTTCCTCACAACATACACATTAGTCCTCCCATCAAATTTCACAAATCTATCATATTTCCAAGGATGGCCTAATAGTATATGACATGCATCCATAGGGAAAACATCACACAAAACTTTGTCATGAAATTTACCAATTGAAAAGGATATTAGAGCTTGTTTATCCACCTTGACATCACTTGAATTATTGAGCCAATGAAGCTTGTAAGGATTTGGATGCTCGGTAATTGGCCACTCCAATTTATCTACCAAAGTAGTAGACACTACATTAGTGCAACTTCCCTTATCTATGATCATATCGCACAACCTATCTTTCACCTTGCACCTTGTGAGAAAGATTTTCTCCCTTTGATTGCCTTCAATAGTCATAGGCTTTGAGTGTAGTGCTCTCCTTAGGACCAAACTTTGACCTTAAGTCTCGGGATTAATTTCTTCCATGTGTTCCTCCTCTTCTTCAAAGTTTTCCTCATCCTTTTCACCGTCACTACCTTGCTTACACATAGCCTGCTCTTGTTCCCATTCTTGAGCCGTCATTACCCTTTTAGAAGGACAATCACTTGCAATGTGACCAACACTACCACAATTAAAGCACTTCCTTCCTTCCATAAACTTCTTATTAGTTTCGAATTTAGGCTTAGATTCTTCGTAATTCAAACTAGAACCACCTTTTTCCATACTAGTTCTTTCAAAAGGTTTTGAGAATCCTTTTGTAAACGGTTTAGTGAATGAGCTCTTCTTCCCATTTAATTGTTTTTCAACTTTGATAGCCACTTTACACACATCCTCAAAAGACCAATATTGTTGTAATTCAAATTTTTCAGCAATTATCATTCAATACCGAAATAAAACGAGCAATCTTATGTTCAACAATTTCTTCTAAACCACATAACATGCATAACTTCTCAAATTCAACAATATAATTCTCAACAATCATAGAATTTTGTTTAAAAGTTTGCATCTTAAAATATATATCTTGAATATAATCACTAGGAACAAACCTCTTTTTCATGTGCTTCTTAAGTTGCTCCCAAGTTGTGATTTTGTCACGCCCTTCCTTATGCCTCTTCTTTTTCAAATTTTCATACCAAAGACTAGTATAACCAGTGAGCTTTAACTTCATAATTTTACACATTTTTCTCTCATAATACTCCTTGTAATCAAAGAGTGTTTCGGCCCTTCTAATCCATTAAAAATACTTCTCTGGTTCATTCATACTCTCATTGAATTCGGGAAGGTCTAACCTAAGGTCTCTGTCATCATCTTTTGGTCTATCCCTTCCCCTAGGTCTAAGTGAATCATCACTTGATGAATGGTTCTTACGTGACCTCCTAGGGTTTCTCCTTAGATGTTCTTCCTCACTTGAACTAGAGTTAGGGTTAGATTCACCCCTCTTTAAAGAAGATCCATCACAAGTATCAAGTCTTTTCAATACCTCCTCCAATCTTGCTGCCAACTCGGTGATTTGTCTATCTATTCTAAGGTTTTGAGCTTGTTCTAAGGTTAAACCCCTTAGAACTTGTGGAACCTCTTCGTCAATCATTATTCCTACACAAACCAAGTTATTCTATGCAAAAACCTTGAGCAAAAGATCAAATTTTGAAGGAATTTTGAAGCAAACAAAAATCGGACTCCCAACCGCAACCAGTGTAACAACACCAAAAGTTTGAGGCTAATTCCTAGATGTTTTTAAAGACTAATGCAAAAAGAATCACGCAAAAATTCCCAGCCAAACGTTACAAACTTTTATCTACCGAAACCTGGAATCTGTTACCAAGATGATGTGGATTTTTGTCCAAAACCTAAAACACACAAGGATATGAATCAAGCTTAATTCTATATAGGAAAATCCACCTAGAATTAAACAAGAAACTAGATTAAACAACAAAGAATCCATCTAATTAATCAACCTAAACGAATGTTTGAACTAAAACATGCAAAACAACAATTAAAATCCATCAATCAGAACTTAAGTGTTCAAACTCAAAACAATGCAATAATAATCAGATTATTTCCTGTGGTAAAAAGCCTATTTATGAGCTAGACTCTCTTAGAAAGATTAGGACAAGTCCCTAATTCAATCCTAAGCAGACTAGACTTCTAAACCAACTTGGAGAAAAAGGAAGCAAGCCATGAACCACAAGCTAGTAAAACACGGTTTACATAACTAATCAAATAAGATAGAATTTGATAAGTTATCTAATCTAACTAGAACTCTAACAAACCCTTGAATAAGTGATATGTCGTGTTTTGTGAATATTATTTGGCTTATTTTTAGTTAGTTTTGTTAGTTTAGTTGAGTATTTGAGTCCGTTTTAGCGTATTTTGCTTTAGTTTAGATAATTCGATGCTTTTATGGGTAGTTGTGTTGTTTTTGATGAATTTCGGGAATAATAGAACTAATTTGGATCCATTACGAAGCCATGAAGTTAAGCCAAGGCCCATGAAGCTTGATGATTGAAGAAAAGGCAAAATAGGGAATTTTAGAGCTAGGCATAGCCGTGCCTACTCTGAGGCACGTCCGTGCCTCCAAGCCATATGCAGCACCCTTTGTTTCGACCCTAGGCACGTCCGTGCCTAGCAAGAGGGCACGTCCGTGCCCATCAGAGCAGTCAGGCACGTCCGTGCCTGGAAGACAGAAGCTGCAACAATTATGCTACGTAAAGAGGCACGTCCATGCCTGTGGAGAGGCACGTCCGTGCCTCCTGGGAATCTTGTGCGCCAAGCTTAGCCGATTTTTCTTATCCTTTTAGGCTTGTATATATTCTTTAGTTTTTTCTTCTTGGCGAATTATTCATTAATTAAGTCTTGTTTTTATTTTTTTTCTCTCCTTAAGAACTAGTTCTCCATCATTATTTTCCAAGTTTTTCTAATTCAAGATTCAAGATTCAAACTATCTACTTTCAATTTTATTCAAGATTCGGTATTTATTTTTCATCCTTTGTTATTTAATTATGTTTTCATTATTTATTATTGTTTTTGTTTCTTTAATCATGTGTGAGTAGATTCTTTAATTCATGATCTAGTGTAGCCCTATTATTATTGATGCATGAATTAAATCTTTAAATTCTTTAATAACTTTAACAATTGAATTGCTAAATTGATTGTGATTATGCCAATGCTAGGTTAGACATAACTATAGTATTGCGATTATTCCATTGTTTTTATCACAGCGAGAGTTGGGTATAAACGGATTTGAGTAAATCAATTTAGGGTTTGATTCTCAACACGAGAGTACTTGGGTTTGATAATTGGCAAGTGAGAGTAATGTGTTTAATGTCTCTAATATGCATGATACCATGAGAATAGGCTTGATTGTATGTTAGGGAAGCCATTGATACTCGAGAGAGATCCTTGGTATTTATTAGGGTTTACTTTTCCCCGTTCGATTGAAATCGTATGTTAAGGGTAGAATTACAATTGCATTGTTAATAATTGTGGTGAACCTAGATCTTGGATGTTTTAAGTACTTGATTTAATCATCTCATTTAGTTTATTTTCGAATTCTTCTCATACTTAGTTCCGTAGATAATTGATTATAATTGATTCTTGCTTAGTAGAAATTCGAGTCTATTTAATTATTTCTGAACCTTAGTTTCTTGGGATCCGACCCTTGCTTGCCAGTCTACATTAGTATTGGTCTGTTAGGTTATTTTTGATAGGTACGCGACACGCTTATCAAATTTTGGCGCCGTTGCCGAGGACTAACGGTTTCATTAGATTATTTGTGATTCATCTTTACTAAGTTTATTTCGTTGCTTCGGCTATTTTCCCTTATGTTTTTGATACCTTTCTCTAGTTTTTCTTGTGCATGCCCACACGCCGCTCAAGTTCAGAAGATCTTGAACCATTTGGTTCTGAGATTGAGGCAACTATAAGAAGAAGGAGAAAAAGGAACAGACGCAGGAGAAACATGGTAGACCAACCAACGAAATCCCTCTTAGAGTACGGTATTCCTGATACGATTACCGGAATCCTTTCAAGCATCATAAGACCACCAGTCACGGCTCAGCACTTCGAGCTCAAGCCACAGTTCATACAGTTCATCTCCAATGATTCATTCGCAGGGCTACCACATGATTGCCCCGTAAGTCATATAGATATTTTTTTGGAGAAATGTGACACTATGAAGTTGAATGGTGTTACAGATGATGCAATCAGACTACGCCTTTTCCCCTTCTCACTTCGAGACAAGGCAAAGGAGTGGTTAAGAGATGAAGGCACTGGCTCGTTCAATACATGGGACAAGTTAGTGAAGGCCTTCCTAGTGAAGTTTTTAGGGAATGAGAAGACTGCAAGATTGAGGAATGAGCTACAAAATTTTAAGCAGTCAGATGATGAGTCTCTCTATGAGGCTTGGAGGAGATTTAAAAGATTGCAGAGACAATGCCCTCACCATGGCATTCCAGATTGGATTTTGATGCAGACCTTTTACAATGGCATGACTCATGAGTTCCGTATTTACATAGATGCTGCGTCAGGAGGTTTTCTCTTGACAAAGAACCCCACTGAAGCTAGGGAGCTCATAGAGAAGATGGCAGCCAATGATAACTATCATCCTAGAGGCCGACACACTGTGAAAAAGGGAGGTAAACTTGATGTTGATGCTTTAACTATGCTAACTAGTTCTGTGCAGGCACTAACAAGCAGGTTTGATAAGTTCCAAGCAGGAACTTCTAACACCCCACAGGAGTTGTGTCAGTTATGTCATGTGCAGGGTCATGTTACTCCAGATTGCCCATAGATTTCGCAGAATGCGGAAGAAATGTCAATCGAGCAAGCCAATGCTTTCTACTCCTCTAACCCAAAGAGGCCTTATGACCCTTATTCCAACACCTACAATGAAGGATGGAAACAGCATCCCAACTTTTCCTACAAAAACCCCCAAGCACAACAAAACCCTCCACCACCACCTCAACCCAATACCTACAACCAACCACCACCAGGCTTCCAACAGAAACCACCCAATGCCCAACAACCTATGCAACCACAACCTCATAAATCAAGCCTAAAGGTGACTTTAGAGAGCTTCATAACCGCAACAAACAGTGCCATCCAACATCAAAATAGCTCTATCCAACAATTGCAGGCCCAAAGTAAACTTATGGAGAATCAGATAAGCAAATTGGCCAACCAATTTAACCAAGCTTTAAAGACTCTAGGAACCTTCCTAGGCCAGACAGAACAACCTCAAAGAGCCAAAATGAATTTTGTAGCCCTGAGGAGTGGAAGGCAGTTGGACGATCCTCCTACCATGGAGCCATCAAGGGAGGTCAATGAAGAAGCAGAGGCAAGTGAGAAGGAATTAGAAGATGCTAGAGTTGAGGAGGCATCAAGGGAACCACCACCAAAGCCACTTGCTCCATATGTGCCCAAGATTCCTTTTCCTCAAAGGTTAGCACAAGCTAAACTTGAGAAAAAGTTCAATAAGTTCCTCGATATTCTTAAAAAGCTTCATATTAATATTCCATTCCTAGATGCCATATCTGAGATGCCTTCTTATGCAAAATTTTTAAAAGATATGCTATCTAACAAAAGGAAATTAGAAGAGAATACTACAGTTGCTTTGAATGCAGAGTGTAGTGTTATTTTGCAGAACACTCTCCCTAAGAAATCAGGAGATCCAGGTAGCTATTCAATACCAGTGAAGCTTGGAGATATTAAGATCAATAGGGCACTATGCGATCTAGGTGCAAGTGTGAGCCTTATGTCGCTGTCCATATGCAAGAAGCTACAGATGGGTGAGCTTAAACCTACACGAATATCTCTACAACTTGCAAACAGGTCCGTGAAGTTTCCTTTGGGTGTACTTGAGGATGTACCCTTCAGAGTAGGTAAATTTTTCATTCCATTTGATTTTGTTGTGATGGAGATGGAAGAAGATGTGAATGTTCCGATCATACTTGGTAGACCTTTCCTAGCTACTGCAGGTGCAATCATAGACATGAAGAAAGGTAAGATCACTTTTGAAGTAGGTGATGAAAAGATGGAATACTCACTTTTGAATGTCATGGGTGCTCCCTCTACGGAAAACACTATTTATCAGATAAGCCAACTTTCGCAACAGGTGAACCGCCTATCGACTCTTCAAGAACAAGCGAAGGTTCAGAAAGAACAATGCAATCCTATCTTCCTGAGAAGAGATGAACTATTTCCGAAGCAAATTGTTGAGAAGGTGTGTATCTAGGAGCCTAGAAAGGACGTAAGGAGCAAGGATGTTCAAGGCTCCAAATATGTAGCTTCACCGGCCAATGATGAACCGATGCCCTTCTCGCAACGGTTGTCAAAAGCCGTGCTTGATGGGCATAACTCTACGTTCGATGGTGGTACCTGTTTGAGAATCGATGCTACTAACCCCCCGATTGATAGGTATGTGTTTGACAGGAATTTCGTGAAAGGGAAGGATAAAGTTCCACCCGATGGCATGTTTGGCTATGTGAAGGTGAATTCGGTTAGAAGGCAAGTGAATAAGCCGATGAAGGAGTCGCTTGGAGGAATTCATGAACATCGCGGTCCTCCTTCTCCGTGTAATGATCCCGGTTGAGCCAACAAGGGAGGTCGAGCTAACGACCTTTAAAACAAGCGCTAAATGGGAGGCAACCCATTCTCGAGTTCTTACTCTTATTTCGTTAATTTTTCTACTTTAATTTCATTATTTATCTTTTTTTTTTTATTCTTATGTCTAGTTTTTGCTTTGTTCGTGGTGTTAAATTAGGTGAAAAGTAAGCAAAAGGAAGAAGAAACAAGGAGGAAAAGCACTAAGAAGAAGGAAAAAGGAGAAAAAAATCAAAATCTACAGAGGCATGTCTGTGCCTCTGAGGCAGAATGTTTGGGGGGTTGAACTTCTAGAGAGGCACGTCCGTGCCCCCCCATTAGGCACGTCCGTGCCTCAGATTTTCCGTATCCCAATTTTTTTTAATTACATCTATTTTAAAAAAAATAAAAAAATAAAATTTGCAGATGGGGCAGAGAGCCAAGGAGTGCAATTTCGTGCCTCGCCCAATAATAAGGCACAGACATCCCAGGCCGCCTTCCAGGCCGAGTTCTATGACATCAGGGGCGTGATGAGACAACACTTTCAGGGCGGTCCTAGCACTGTCCCGAGGTATGGTTTTTCCCCCCACCCCTCCTGATCAGTAGTTTGCTTTCCCCTTCCCCTTGTTTATTTGCTTTGGTTTATGCATACATTGAGGACAATGTATGGTTTAGCTTGGGGGAGGATTTGCTTTTGACCATGTATATACTAGTTTTCTTTCAGTTTTTTGGGTAGTTTATTTCTTTCTAGTGTCGAATAATATGCCATTGCATGACTATGCTTCTATGATTATAATCACATATGTGTGCTTTTTAAAAAAAAAAAAGAGTTTTTGAAAACCCATTCATTGATGTGCTTGGATTTGAGGTAGGTTGTGGGCAGGATGGTCTCCCTGCTCTACTTATGTGAATAGTTTGTGTACCCGGTGAGAGTCCTAAGCCTTATTTGACTTATTTCACTCTACCTCAATCATGTTTCTTCTTGTGTGATTAGATTGTCCTTCATGTAATCGAATTCTTGGTCTTGCTTTTTGACTATTTGAGACTTTATGATGCATGTCGCGAAAAGATGATTAAAATTTCCTTGTAGAAATTAGAGCCTCCACATTTTAGGCCTTCATGTTTTTTCTTTTTGTTTTTATTTATTTTTATTTTACATTCACCCGTAGGTTGAACCAATTTGAGCCATTTTAACCCCTTCTTGATACCCTACATTTAAAGCTTTAGAGCTAATTTTCTAAGTTTATTTTCAAGGTGTTTTTCATTTGTTAAGCCCTATGAGTGTGAATGATGTTGAAAAAACAAAAAAAAAATGGAAAAAAATGAAAAGAAAAGTAATTAAAAACAAAGAGAAAAGAAGGGAGATTATGAGAAAGAAAAGAAAAAAAACGAAGAAAAGAAATATGGTCTTAAAGGCCCTTGAAAAAAATAGAGAAGTCTTCCATTTTATTTATTTTTTTAATCCCTTCCTCTTTGTGTGAAAAAAAAATAGAAAAAAAAGGAAGGAAAGAATAAAGGGCTATGTTTATAATTGTATGGAGTTGGAGGAAATAAGGTTGGATTTAACCCGACATTTGAATGTGTAGTGGGATTAGGATTTGTTTTTTTTTAAGCACCACATTCCCAAAATACGTCGTCTAACCCTTATTTACAGAGCTTACCTAATATGGATTTCATGATTTCCGTGTTTGCATCAATCACTAAAAGTGGAGAAAGTCACATTGCAAGCCTAAAGAGGCCGGTTGTGTGAAGTTGATATGCATACTATGCTTAGGTTGAAGGGCTTCATATTTCACCCCAAAAACACATGAGCGTTATTGTTTTTATTTTTCACAACTAAAGTGAGAACTATTCATGTTTGTGTGAGTAGGTATGGGGAGATGTGTGGTAAGATGGGTTGTCAAGTCCAAGTATATGAGATGAATGGTGGTTTTTGCAGATGTTGACTCTTGATTTCGTTTTTATCGTGGTTTTGAACTTAATGGCACATTGTGATTGTTTGAGGAGTTATCATTCTCTTCCCTTGTGATTCATGGTTAAATTCTTGAGGACAAGCATTAGTTTAGCTTGGGGGAGTTTGATATGTCGTGTTTTGTGTATATTATTTGGCTTATTTTTAGTTAGTTTTGTTAGTTTAGTTGAGTATTTGAGTCCGTTTTGGCGTATTTTGCTTTAGTTTGGATAATTCGATGCTTTTATGGGTAGTTGTGTTGTTTTTGATGAATTTCAGGAATAATAGAACTAATTTGGATCCATTACGAAGCCATGAAGTTAAGCCAAGGCCCAAGAAGCTTGATGATTGAAGAAAAGGCAAAATAGGGAAATTTAGAGCTAGGCACGGCTGTGCCTACTATGAGGCACGTCCGTGCCTCCAAGCCATATGTAACACCCTTTGTTTCGACCCTAGGCACGTCCGTTCCTAGCAGGAGGGCACGTCCGTGCCCATCAGAGCATCCAGGCACGTCCGTGCCCAGCATCAGGCAAAACAGCATCAGGCGCCTAAATCAGCTAACTAATTAACTAACTAGTTAAAGAAAACCAAACTAACTACTTTCTAATTTATAGAAACTAATGAAAAGCTTAAAAATCCTTAGCTTAGACTCCAAGAAAAACCTTTCAAGTGAAAGGTAAAAACTTGTAAGCAAAATCTAAGTAAAGAAAATTAGAGAAAGTAGTTTAGACTCCAAGAAATGTAACCAAGAAAACCGTAGCTTTGTTTTGGTATCCAAGAAAGTGTCCATGCAATGCTTAACTTGAATAAATGTTTAGAGACAAGCTATCTATATGCATGATAAGCATTTGTTCGGTGTTCTCCATGCTTAGACTTGCATTACTAATTAAATCAAATGAAAGTCAAACACATTCAAACAAAGCTTATTACATCAAATGAATGGCAAAAACATTACTTAACAAAAAAAAGTCAAACACATTCAAACAAAGATTTTTGAATCAAATGAATGTCAAATGCATTCAAAAAAGCTAATTGAATCAAGTGAAAGTCAAACAAATTCAAACAAAGCTTTTTGAATCCAATGATTGTCAAAATGCATTCAATGGTGCTAATTGAATCGTATGAAAGTTAAACACCTTCAAACAAAGCTTTTCCAATCAAATGAAAGTCAAATGCATTCAAGAAAGCTATATGAATCAAATGAAAGTCAATTACATACTAACAAGCTAATTGAATCAAATAAAAGTCAACCACATTTGATTAGTTATAAGGGAAAATTGAATGCTAAGGGGATGACATTGTCCTTTATTGCTCCTCAGGTCATGGATGGGAAATCAATTGCTAAGCTTACTGCTGCTAAACTATCTGAAGGTAGAGAGAGATGGGGTAATGCTCTGATCTTTTATGTTGTTGGTTTTCTCCTTCTATTACTGTTGTTCATTAATTTGAAGCTGAAAATTGGAAGAGTATAGTTAAACCTCATATTTTTTTGCATGATGAGGGGTACTTCATTATTAGTTTGAAATCTACTAGTGATAAGAATACAATATTGTGTACTGGACCTCACATGCTCTATGGTAAGCCAGCTATAATTAAAGCCTAGAATGATAAATTTGATTTTCATTCAGAAGTATTGAGAACTATTCCTCTTTGGGTTAAATTGCCAAATCTGCCATTGAACTGCTGGGGTGCTGATACTCTTAGCAGAATTGGAAGCCTGTTAGGTATCCCAATCTGTGTAGATGAGTGTAACTCAAGGAAATTATGGGTCTCTTTTGCTAGACTTCTTGTGGAAATGGATGTCACAAAGCTCTTACCATCTTCTGTGTGGGTTGAAGATCCAGGTGGTGAGTTAGTTGAACTTAAAATTCAATTTGAATAACATCCACCATTTTTTAAAAAATGTAATAAGGTTGGTCATGACTGTTCTGTGCCTAAGCATCAGCCTAAATCGCAACAGCCAGATATAGGGAATAATCAGGTTCAGAAGAAGATATGGGTCCCAAAGCAAAACAGTTATGTTCCAGCACCTAAAGATAGTAGCTCTGAGATCACACCAGAACCCCAGATTCAGAAACCAGATGAATGGAAGATGATTGGTAAGAAAACTGTGAAGAAAGCTAATAGACAGATTACTTTCCCTATTTCTAAGTCTAATTCTTACCAACCTTTATCTTTGGAAGAGGAGGGACCTATTGAAACTGTAGATAAAGATCCTATTGAGGGTGATGGTAATCCATCTCTGGAAACATGATAGTTCTTTCATGGAATATAAGGGGTCTTAATGACCCTGTGAAGGTAGTTGTTATAAAACAGTTACTTTTAGAACATAAAATTGATGTTTTGTGTATTTTTGAAACTAAAGTTAAAGTTCAAAACAGTAGTAATATTCAGAAGAAGTTTGGGATGGCTTGGTCTTAGCATTGTAACTATTCTAGCTCTCCTAAAGGTAGAATTTGGGTTGGTTAGAAGGCTGAGTGCCTTACTCTTGACATCATGGCTTCTATTGAACAATTTGTTCACTGTCTGTTGTGTTCAAAGGATTTACAGAGTAAGAATCTAATTACTTTTGTATATGGTCTTCACACCATTCATGATAGAATGCAATTATGGACTGGTCTTAAAGGGCTGCCTAGTGCTTCTATTCCATGGCTTTGTGTTGCAGACTTTAATTTTGTCCTGTCTGTTTCTGATAGGTTGAATGGGGCTGCTGTTTCTGAATATGAAACTAGAGATTTTCAACAGTGTATTGATGATCTGGCTCTAGTTGAAATAAAGAGCAAAGGTTCCTTCTATTCTTGGGGTAACAAGGCTCACTCTGGTCCTAGAACATTTACTAGGATTGACAGGGGGCTTGTGAATCAAGCCTGGATAAATTTTTATGGTCATGTTGAAGCTCTTTATCTCCCTCCTTCTCTCTCTGATCATAGCCCTCTTGTTTTCAACATTTTTCAGCCTCAACCTGGGAAAGGGAAGCCTTTTAGGTTTCTAAACTATTTGGCTGAGCATGAAAATTTTATGAGTTCTGTTGAGGGTGCCTGGCAAAGTTCTCATTCTAAAAATGCTATGAATGTAGTCTGGTGCAAGCTCAAACAGGTGAAGGGTGTGCTGAAGACTCTAAATATTCAGAAGTTTGGTGATATTCATGGTAGAGTTGAGGATGCTTGTAATCAACTTAGTACTGTTCAGCATCAAATTTCTGGGGATGAAGCTAACACTGACCTTTATGGTAAAGAAATGGAAGCTATTGCTAATGTTAAATATTGGCTGAGGATTCAAGAGAGTATCTACAAACAGAAATCCAGGGTAGACTGGATGTAGCTTGGTGATGGTAATAATCACTATTTCTTTTCTATGATGAAACAAAGACAAATTAGGAACAGGATTGACACTTTGTATAATGAACATAATACGCTCCTTAATGTTCTTGCTGACATTGAAGGGGAACTCACAAGCTTCTATATGAAGCTCCTTGGTTCTAGAGCTACCTCTCTCCCCTATGTTGATCTCGGTACCATAAGGAAAGGTAGGCAATTGTCTAGGGGAGCTCAGGATATTCTTGTTAGCCCTGTCACTATTGATGAGATAGACTTGGCTATTAAGGGTATTGACAGCACGAAAGCCCTTGTCAAGACTGATGTGTATGCTTGGGTTTTGGAATTCTTTAGAACTGGAAAAATGTTGAGAATGTGGAATTGTACCACTGTTACCTTAGTGCCTAAAGTTCAAAATCCTTCTTATGCTAAGGATTACAGGCCTATTGATTGCTGTACAATGCTTTATAAGCTAGTTTCTAAAATCTTAACTACTAGACTTGCTTTAGTTCTCTATGAGATCAATGATGAAGCTCAAGCTGGCTTTATTCCAGGTAAGCATATAGGAGACAATATACTTCTTGCAACAAAGTTTATTAACGGTTACAGTCATAAGTATATCACTCCTAGGTGCATGTTAAAAATTGATTTAAAGAAAGCTTATGATTTAGTTGCATGGAGTTTTTTAGAAGCTGTTATGGCTGAGCTCAATTTTCCTACTCAGTTTATTGCTTGGATTATGGAGTGTATTGCTACTGTCTCTTTCTCAATCATGATCAATGGTGCTCTTGATAAAGCCTTTTTCAGCAAGGAAAGGTCTTAGACAAGGAGATCCTATGTCCCCCTTCTTGTTTGCAATTGGAATGGAGTATTTATCTAGATGCTTGTTTGAGTTGCATCAGAACCCTGATTTCAACTATCACCCTAGATGTGAGAAAATGAAATTAACTCATCTTATGTTTGCTGATGATCTTCATCTGATGTTTTCTAGGGCAGATGCTGGTTTTGTTTCTCTTCTCTTCTAGGCCTTCACAAAGTTCTCTGAAGCTTCAGGCCTTTCTGCTAATATGGACAAGAGTGAAGTCTATTATGGGGGGCTTACTGATGCTGAGCAAGATGATCTTAAGGCCTTAATTGAAAGGAATGGTGTCCTTCCAACAAGTGTATTCTTCCGATAGAGGGTTAAGAATTATTACGGAGCTAATTCTTCAATAAGGTCAAGTGATCGGAATGCCTAGGTGGAGGCCGCTTCAAATCAGTAATATCAATGTACAATTGATGTTACAGCTTAATATTAACTAAACCCTTCGGGTCGAACCCAATCGAACCACCGATCCGAGACGACAAATTAATCCGAAAGGATTTAATGAGTCAGCAGAGTTTTACGAATACAGACGTCGAAAATCGAGCCTAGGGCGTCAAGACCGAGCGTTGCAAAATCACAAATCGACAAGTACGAACATAGCCCTAGCACCATGTGGATGCTAGGCTAGTTCGAGCTAGCATGCATCTTGCATGCTAGGCGCAAGCCTAGGCACACTAGGTGTGCTAGGCGCACCATCGCAGCACAAGCACAGCACCATCGCATGGCTAGGCCAGTGCGTGTGTGCGTATGCTTGTGCGGTAGCCTATCACATCCCTAGCATCGCATCACAGCACGCTGGGCATGTGCAAGTGCCTAGGCGCACCATCGCAGGCCTAGCACCACACACAGCGTCATCGCAATGCCTAAGGCTTGCATGCGTGTGTGTGCTTGTGCCTAGGCCTATCGAATCATCGCACACGTAGCCCAGGCACCATCGCAAGGCATGACACCATGCACAGCACCATCGCAATGCCAGGGGCTTGCGTGTGTGTGCGTGTGTGCCTCGCAGCCTCACCATCGCAGCCTCGCACAGCAACAGCAATGATGCGTGTGAGCTGGTGCGTGTGTGCGTGCAATGGAAATGCTAGGCAGCAGCACCACGCATGCATGTGCGTGTGTGTGCGATAGCAAGGCAACAGCACCACGCATGCATGTGCGTGTGTCTGCGATGGCTAGACAGTAGTGCCAAGCGCCCAGCACAAGGCGTTACTCGCGAGCAGCACGCAAGTGCTGAGAGGGCTGGGTGATGCGTGTGTGTGTGCGATGGAGGTGCTGGGCAGCAAGGCAGTTCTAGCTGGCAGCCAGCCAGCCCTCCTTGAGACGATTTTGTGCAAGGATGTGGGGACCAAATCAAGGCCTTGGGTAGCAAGGCATATGGTCCCCCACCTAACCTTTGCCACCACCCTTTTGCATATGGTTATGCCACTTGTCGCAATGTGATTAACTTGATTATTTATTTAATTTAGAATTAAATAAATTGTTGTTTTTTTCAACTCTCCCACATTGATGGGGGATTGAAAACCAAGGACCGATTTCCCTATAAATAGCTTTCAAGGGTGTTGGGAAATGGACAACCTTGAGTGGAATTAAAAAGGCAACTCTAAGAAAGAGTAAACCTTTGATTCGTAAAACTTATAGTTATTTTGTCCGGGTCTTGACTTACCTTCAAGACTTAGGACGCTCAGGTCGGGTCGAGGGTACGATCCGTCGGAGATCTCGTGTTTTCAGGATTTGAAGTAAGAGCTCTTTGGGAGCGAAGCACGCGTCAAAGGTATAATTTTTGTTCTTAATCTTATTTGATTAAGTTTAATATGTTTGTTAATTGTTTTAATTAAGGGGCGGGTCTTGGTGGGTTTCCTTCCGCGTAGTGTCGGGTCACTACAAAACCCTACAGTTGTATCAGAGCCACGCTCCTTTTAATTTTTGCAATTATTTTTTAATTAAGATATTTTAAAAGAATTTAATTTTCTGGTTCATGTTCTTCTAATTAGATTAGATGCTCGTTTTAATTAATTTTAAAACTCGATTTTATTATCGATTTGGCTGTCGAACCCAGATTTTGGCTCAAAAATAGTGATTTTTGGGTGGAATTGACATTCTGGAACAGATTTAATCCTTTTAGGCCTGTCCATAAGCCAAATTCAAACCAGAAACCCTATTTTTCTGGGGTTTTTCGTTTTCAACGAAAATTTTAAATCTTTTTAAGCCTTGATTAATGCAAGCATTACTAGGTTAGATTAAATGCACATTTGCATCACAAATCTATTGGTTTTAAAATATCCTTGAGCATAATAATGGAGTGTTTATTAGTGCTTAAGTTGATATACCAATTTTTCACATAAACTTGTTTTTCACAAATTTTGCAAATAAATTGCAATAAAGTGTGAAAACTTGTTGTGATTTTGTATTTTAAGTTCCCAAATAATGTTAAAGTTCTAAAATTTAAAGGTTTAAACGATTGGAACCCTAACCCTAAATTCCATGTTGAACAAAGTTTGGATTTTTTCATGTTTGGTTGATTAAAATCCATCAAGTTCAATTACTTGTGAGTAAAATTTGATTAATCTTCATATTGGAAGATGTAATCTTGGTATTTTACACAAGTATGCAAATTTGAAAATTTTTATCATTGGATGGTTAATTTATTTTTCCAACTCCCATTTGTCAAATCCATTATTAATTTGCATATTGGCAAGATTAATTTTGGACATAGCTCATTTTATTTTAAGCATAAAATTAGACCTAATTTTGTTTAAAATTAAAATTTTGGATAATTTAGACTTGTGCACCAATAAAATAAATTTTATTTAAGTAGGACATAATTTTATTTTATTTTATTTTCCCTCAAATTAATTCTAAAATGTAATTTGGAATTAATTATTGTCACACACAAATCGGAATTAAATTCCGAGAATTGGCACGCAAATCAAGGCAAAAACACCCAAACGTCACCAAGGCTAGTCGGGCTGCCCAGCAGCCCACATGTGCAAAGAGTGTGCCTTGAGGGGCTGCTGTGTGGGAGTGGTGTGCTGCCATAGTGCTAGGTGCATGGCAGGGCTGCTGGAGTTGCTTGTGCGTGCTGCTGGGCAGCGAGGCAGCAAGCCCCACCTAGCCTGCCAGACACTGCCAAGCACCAGCTACCAAATGAGTGTTGCCAGTGCTGGCTGGCGCAGCATGCCATGCTGGGCGTGGATGCTGGCACACAACACATCAAGCGCAGCACATGAGCTGCCTAGCAGCCATGGTGCGCATCCACCTAATGCTTGTGTGGGGTATTTTGCTTGATTTTGAGCTATGCGTTTTTGCAAAAAAATTTGTCGTTTTAATAATTTTTAATAATTTTTTTTGACGAGGCTAAAAACCTCGATTTTCAATTTTTCAAAATTTTGACAAATTATGGGTTATGCCGACTTAATTAATCGGATTAATTAAGTACGGATGCGAAATTTAGTGGGAGCTTAATTAAGTGCGTTAGCATTTTGCAGTTAGAAATAATGGATTAAACAACTTTGACTAGTTTTAATTAGGCGCGTTAATTGGATTAACCACCTAAGTTAGTTACTAGTTTTACGTGTTTAATTATGTTTTTAGTAAAATTGCATAGGCCATTCACAAATAGTGAATGGGTGAATGGAAGATTGTTTTCAAAACAGGTTCTTTGAAAATGGCAACTAGTGGGGCCCAACTAGGATAGAAAATACAGACTGCGTTCCGGTATGTATTTTTGTAAATCTAAATACGGTCTGCGAACCGTTAAGTATTTTTTGTACTATTACATTAATCTTAGTCGTTCTAGCTAGCTTCTTTTATTTCATTTTTGGCCAACATGTCTCAAGACGACGTTTCGACGAAGACGAGCCAAGATGAAGACCCATGGAAATTGAAGATTTCAAAGGGTCATGCTAGTTGCCAAATGCATCTATTTTTGTGCCTTATATATGTTATTATATATAATTGCTAGATGCATGTCTACGATTTCTATTATGTTGCGACGATTAGTTAAGTTCACTTAAATCAACCAACATAGAAACCCTTGGTCCCTTAATAATATTGAGCTAAAAATTTGTCGTTCCAAGAACAACACTTACCGCACTAATGCACGTACGTGATGGATTACGCCAAAGCGAGGCATCACTACTTCC